TTTTACTTACGACAAATAAAAAATATACTTTTCATTTGAACGAATTCACCCTTTAACGCAACACCACAATTCAATTATTCTCCATAACACCATTTAACATAAATTGAACTCCCGCCAAATAACTGATTTGTGACGTCACGCGCACGCCGGCTTGTGGAAGCCCTGTGATTGGCCGAGAGTCGCGCGGGGCCCGACGGGTCTGATTTGCATACTGGCGCGATGACGTCAGAGCTTCACTGGGCTACAAAATCACAAACGAAACTAATTATATTTGGTGATTCTTTGTCGGTGGTTGCACAAGCAACACACAAACAACAACAACTCTACGTGTGTGTGTGTGGCGTTAACAGGAAAATATATAAGTTAGGCGACGTTTCAGGCAATAGCCCTTCCCACGGTGTAAAGTGCGGTCTTTTCAACTACGATCCACCCTATGTGATTATCTTTCTGGCATCGGTATTTATGTGCAATGAAGAAGGGTCGTTGCCCGAAACGTCGCTTGTTATTTTATAAATGTTTATGCGGAACACCGCGGTGTTATTGACGCGTTGTGTTGAGTTTGTGTCGTTGTTGTTGTTGTTATTGTTGTTCTTCTTGGTTCTTTCGGTAAAGTCACGTAGGAGAATAATAAAAGAATAAAAATAAAACATAATAAAATAATTCTCACGACGTTTCGGCCACAACGCTTATGTTTTATTTTAGTATGTTTTATTTTTATTATTTTATTATTTTCCTTCTACGTGACTTTACCGAAAGAACCAAGAAGATGAATCCCTGCAGTCACGAAAGCTTTAAATCGAAAGTTACTGTTGTTATTCAGACGACATAAACACGAACGGGTGTTTTTTTTTCTTTTTTCAACAAATTGCACCCAATAAGCCCATGAGCCCTACGAGACGTAAAGCGAGGTCGTGGTTTCAACGAAGTGCGCGTCCCGGCGTGTGCAAGTGTGTTGTCTTGGGGGGTACACTTTGCCAAACTCAAAAAAAGTTAAGGTGGGGGGGGGGTGGAAGGGGGCCAAGGGGTTAAACCCCTTTAAGATCAAGTCCAGCTTGCACGGTTTTACAAAACAAAATGTTGGTGTACGACGACTTTACGGAGGGTTTTCAATGCTTCCTCGTGGCAGTGAAACGCGCGTGTCGATTTGAGTCGTCACCATAGATTTCCTCCAATCGACGGCGCGCGTGTGACGCATCACGTGGTACGTCTTCATCACGAATCCATCGGTTCGGTGAAATCGATTGGCCGTCGGTTTGAATTGCCGGCACAAATTTCGCTGCGAATTTGCGGCCACTTCGTACACACGTTGACGGAATCGTCGCTGCTGCTGCTGCCGCCGCTGCTGCTGCTGTAACTTTACGATCGGCAATTGTTACGCCTTTTTGCCACGTGACTCACAGTGCCATGCACCCCCCTCCTATCTCTGCCCCCCTCCCCTTCGATCGCCCCACCCCTGAGACGGTGGGGGGGGGGGGGCTCTAGCAGCCTAATTGATTAATCACATCGGACCCATAATGCATCGCGACAACTGTCCGCTCATTAATTGTCTGTTGGTTCACTGGTTCATAACTTTAGGGCAGGCAGGGCAGGCAGGCTAGGAGGATGAGGCCTGAGTGTGAAGACGTCAAAGAGTTTAATGTGATTTCGAATGCCTCGATTTTAAACATACACGGGGAGGGGATGAATAATCTTAAATTGTAGTTTTAATTACCATATATTTCTTCCTCTATTTTTTTTCTTGGTTTATCATTATATATACAAAAAAACAGACAGCTATAATGTCCTCTCGACACAGCATTCCCGGGCGGACTGGCATAGTTAAATATTCTTGCATATTCGCATGCGGAACACACGCTCGCGCCTACTGCTCCTACTGGATAATGCGGCACGTACACAGACACGCGTACACACACACACGGAGAGACACGTCGAGTCATTGCAACGAACGTAAGTCGGCTCGCCGTGGTTGACTTATATCAAGCGATGAGTCACATGCCATGGAACTAAGGACAGTAAACGGACAAGCATTATTATTATTATTGGAAATCGTTCTAGAGGATGATGCTTAGGGGTGGAGCTAAACAGGGCTTCAGAGTCAGCAGGAACAGGTCCGGAACGCTCCTCGGGGAATTACATTGACAACCGATCACATCCAAGTCATCCGATAGAGAGCAGCCCTGGCATTAAGGCTATTACCGTGGTTATTTGAAGGGTTCGGAGTTAGGGTCGGGAGCTTAGGATTGGGTGAGGGCCAGGGATTGGGCAGAGGGCAGAGGAATATGGGGTTAGTGTTAGGGGTAGAGTTATAGCTAGGAACTAGGAAGGGTTAGACTGAAGGTAATAGGGTTAGGGGCTAGGGCACGGTCTAGTTGCTAAGAAGCGGGAGGGTTAGGGGTTCGGGAGCTAGGGTTGGCGTTAGTTCTAAGGGCAGGACTAGGAGCTAGAAAGGAGTTGGGATTAGTGGCTCTAGTTCGAGGCTAGGGGTAGAGATGATGATGGGGTTATGAGTAGAACTGGGTACTCGGGCGAGGAACTAACGAAGACGTCAACACCAATTCCGCCATACATCAAAGCGTCAAACAGGGGTGCATTGTACAGGGACCGTGTCTATTATTGCATGCACACGTAGACAAGACGAGACGCAGTGTGGACGACACGTTTTCTGTAGACGTTACTCTAAGGCCGGACAGGCACGCAAGACAAACGGGCAAAGCAGGAGACAAACAAACTAAACTGTACCGACGCAAAGAGTGAAACAAACATTGCCCCTGCTCGTGACAATAGCGACGCAGCCAGTCGACATTTTGGTTTTTTGAGACTGGAGTGGAGTGGCAGCGAACCAGGCATGTCTACAGATCGAGGGGGGGGGGGGGGCTGCGAGTGACCACATATGGTTTCATCGGCACGTGTACTGTTACGTACACACACACACACAGGATACATACATACACACGCATGCATAACTCGAGACGTATCTGCCTCCCGATCTTCGGAGTTGCTAGCGGTCCGAAAGAAAATGCTAAAGTCGGGCCTAGATCGATACAAAATTGTTGATGGGATCGAAAAACATTGAGGGGTGGAGGGGGGGGTTACAATTTCGGATTGATCCGAACGTGTGACGTCACAATAAATGACGTGACGGGCACGAGGTCAAAAGTGGTGTCACGTGGTGCCGGCGACGTCACTTCCGTGAGCACGAAGACAAGTTGTGAATGATGGGTGGAGGGGGAGAATACGATCCGAAACATTTCTTAAAAATCAGAAATTATTTTGCAGGGGGAGTCCACAGAATCCCCTCTGTAGCTCTCACCATTTTCATCATTACTTCATCATCACCACCACCATCATCATTACTACCACCCTCTTCATAATCGCCATCCTCTGTCATCGTCATGTGACGTCTTCATCATTTAACCCCCCACCCCCCTTAATTATCACTTGACCAAATCTCAGTGTCATCATGAGATCGTATCCAAATGTTTTCATCATGATCATCATCACAATACCACCTTCATCTTGATCATCATCGTTATCATAATCAAATACGACGAAATCCTTAACAGCAATCATTATCGACATCGACTCGCATCCTCCGCGTTCCAATCGTTCAGCGAAACCTCCCGACCGCTGCACCAACAACAACAAAACCCGGCGTGGAGTTACGTGGACTCCTGAATCTGGAGCCTAGGATCTCACGGCCAGACAGGGACCGGAGTTTGCCGAGCCACTCGCGAGTCGATAAACCAACCGTCCGATTCGATAACAGCAACAAAACAAAATAAAAAAAATCGATTATATTCGTCTCGTCAGTACACACGGAACGATTCAGCACCACCGCCTCCAGCGGTTTAGCGATACATTGTCAAGATCCAGGATCCCACGTGGATTCCAGAATCCGTGTTTTTTTGTCTCTCTGTCTCATCTCACATTGGCCCGTCTCGATTTGTGATTCGCACCCCTCCTCCACCCACCCCAACTCGCAACCCGCCCCATCAGCCGTCAAGTTTCATCGGCACATCATTTGCATACAAGCGAAAGTAAATTAGTCGATTCTCACACGCTGACCGGCGCGGTGAAGTATGGTGAATTAACCCACACCCCCCCCGCCCGCCCCCATCCAGCAGTAAATCAAGAGCGCAGTAATCGATTGTGCTAAACAAGGAGGTGGGTGGGGGGGTGTTGTGATTCGCTACAACCGCTGGCGCGCTAATTGACGGTGGTCATGCATTTGGCGGAAGAATTTCGCACATCTCGCTTCACCGCCAAATATCGCGGATAACAGGATGTGTCTCTTCTAGAAATAAACCCAAGACCCCCCACCCCCCCCCTGCCCCGGTCGCCTCTCTCCCATCACCTCGCGTCACGCGACGGACTAACCGGTTTCGGAGCGTCCCTCGACGGACTAACCGGTTTCGGCGCGTAGTCTCTGTTGGAATATTTACGACACTTTAAAGCGTTCTTCGTGCAAAGTTTACGTTTTAATGACGCGCGCGCCCACGTGTCCACACCACTCTCCGTTTCCTGTCGTAATTGGTCTTAAAACAAAACAAAAAAAAGGTGCCGGGTTAGATTCGAGACCGGACTCGGTAACGAGAAGTTCGACTTGGGGTGGGAATCGAACTGTGGTGGGGGGCGCTGTTCGTGCGAGGTTGTGTTCACGATGCGGATTCATTCCGTGCGCTCGTTCATTCGCTCCATCGGGTTGGGAGCGGACATCTAAACGGGTTCGATTCTTTGTCGGTCGCAACGTTCGTAGTGCTGTTTGTTACTGGCCGATCAGCGACTGGTTTTTAAAAAAAACACACACACACACAAAAACACGTACCAAGGATTCATCTTCTTGGTTCTTTCGGTAAAGTCGCTTAGAAGGAAAATAATAAAATAATAAAAATAAAACATAATAAAATAATTCTCACGACGTTTCGGCTACAACGCAAGCAGCAGTCACCTGAGGACGGCTGCTTGCGCTGTGGCCGAAACGTCGTGAGAATTATTTTATTATGTTTTATTTTTATTATTTTATTATTTTCCTTCTACGTGACTTTACCGAAAGAACCAAGAAGATGAATCCCTGCAGTCACGAAAGCTTTAAATCGAAATTTACGTACCAAGGAATCGATTCTCGCACGCTGACCAGCGTGCTGAAGTATGATCGGTCTGATGGGGGCCCCAGCCGCGCAATGTGGGTGACTGTCTCTTCACATCCGTCCAGATATATTGGGGCGGACAACATTCTGGGCCTACCTTAGCTAGCCACGGATTTCGTTTCGTCCCGAACGGGAGTGATCCCGAAACATCACGGGCCAATCCTGGACGACCGCGAATCCAGGAAACTATTTTGGAAGCCAGTCACATCCATCTCGCCTTGCTCTGTACTCCACCACGGTAGGTGAGCCGGTCCATGCACGTATCGAAGTTGCGTGGTTTGGTAACATTTTTGTTTTAAACTAAACCTCTTCGCAACATAAGAGTATTATTACAGAGTGCAATAATAATAATAAAGGATGATTACGGATAAGTGTGCCTTTTACTCTAGTGGTAGTGCCTTACGCCGATAATTCCATTACTCAAAGCCAGGCTGTTACAGCAGTGTTGCGGGAAATATCGAGTGTATCGCGCCAGCGTGAGAATCGATAACAATCGATGGTGATCGATCAATCGCTGCGTCGTCACATGCCTAATTAACTGTTTGTTGAAATTCGTCGTTTTTGCTGTACCCTTGTCTTTAACTCTTTTTTTTAGTTTTTCTTCCTTCAAACATCTTCAATTTCGACATCGACAAATCGACGAAGAGGTACTGAGGAACGTCGATTATGGTCATGACGACGACGTCGTTGAAAATCTGTTGACGTCTTTTGGACCCCCATCACTTAATCTCCACATACTCTCCTCCTGGCAGGATATTCTGAGCCCAAACACAGAATCCTTGGGTCGATTATACACTGGTCAACACACTTTTTTCTGGCATAAGGTATTCCAACGGTCATAAGGTACGTATGGGGTGCTGATTCCAAATCTGGCATCAGTTTTTGTCTATCACATCAGGTTTTTGAGATATCAAATATTGTATTTTCAATAAAAACTGCAGAAGAAAAATATTAAATAAATATGGATATCTACATAAAATTATATTATAAACACACTATCCTAAAAATACAGCACCATATTTAACACTAAATCAGTCACTGACTCGCAACAACTTGCAATCGTAAGTGACAGAGTTAATTTCGGCTAAAATCAATGAAAATGTGGTATGCCGATAGCATAAAAATGAGATGTGATAGAGCAAATCTAAGATCAGATTTGGAATCAGCACTCTGAAATTAGTCTAAAACAGCTGCAAAAGTCCAGGCCAGAAAAAAAAGTTTTTTTTTTGTTGACCAGTGAATAATCAGTCCACTCACGGTACCGCTACGCCAGGTCCACACGCACCCGAGCAACCAAATCGCTCTCCACTCCGCGCAACTCGATCGTCGCCCGCAACTGCTTTGTCCACGTCTGAGCGAGCGGTTTTGCAGCATCGCAACAACCAATCGCAGCCCGCGAACGTTGTCACGCGGCGCCGAAAAACGCGTCGCTGCAAAACCCGCGGAACAGATCGACGCCTGAAAGTCGAGGAGTTCTGGTCTCCTCTACTCTGAGCAACCGGTTGTGCAACCACTCGCGAACCCGGCTGTCCACGTAGAAGTGATTCAGTTGCATGCAACTTATCATCGCTCGTGCGTGGACCCGGCCGTTAGATTAAAAAAAAATCTGAATCATATTGCAATTACGCATTTTCAGTTATAAACTAAACTATTTTTTATTTTACCAGGTAAGGCCCACTGAGCTATACAGCTCTTTTTCAGAAGCTACTTGGCCACAAATGACAGCTCAACGAAGTGGCCCATCACGTTGATATTTATAGCAGCCAAATACTCTAAACGTGCGATGTTGATTCGAAATGTGGAGGGACACACCGGAGGACCCGGAGAAAAATCCACGTGGAGACAGACACCGCAAACTCCAAATATACAGCAGCAGGCGTCAGGGCCGGGATCAAACCCACGACCTCCTGCACACCAGGCGAGGTAGTTAACATTTCGTCACCGTGGCGGCCTTTATAATTGACCCCAAGCCTGGCCCAGAAACCGAACCGCGTGTTGTATCGCGTGACCGCCCCATCTATTCTGTCCCACGCGAGTTTGAAACTCATTCGATGTAACAGTAACAACAACAAAGACTTTAAATTCCCCCTTCGAGGAGACCGCTAGAGCCACCGGCATAGCGACAGGCGGGAGGGGGCGCGGGGGGGGGGGCGTCCACGTGTTGTGCACGTGGACGAGCGTCATCGATGAACGTTGATGACGACGATGATGACGTCAGTGATGACGGTGGCATCAGTGACGTCAACTTTTTTGGAAAACCTCTCCGCTCCCCCCGTGACCGATCTGGACCGACTCTTGTTGCTGGTCCTCAAAGGATTTCCCCAGCCCAAACAGCTGGCCTGAGGTCAAATGTAACTCCATGCCAACGATATGCAGATCGCACGCACGGGCGTCACGAAAGGGTGGGAACAATTTTAGGGCAACGGGTGGCGCGGACAAAGACCGGGCGAAAAATAAACAAACGAAACGAGTCGACTCGTCCGATCGGATCGTGCCCCCACCCCACCCACCACTACCCCCGCTGCCCCGAGCCTCCCTCCCTCCCTCCCTCCCCCGGATCGCGATGCACCATGGAATGTTTGCGTGCTGTGCGGTGACGTCGCTGGACTGCAGAGGTCACGTGCCCGACAAATCATTAAAAAAAAAAACATGGGGCAGCTGCAAGGCTAAGAGCTGCTCGTCTTTTGGGATGCATCTTCCACAGGGCTCCCAGGCAGAGGGGGGGGAGGGGTGCATGGTCTAAGGACGTGTCAAGGATTGGGCATTCGAAGGGGGGAGGGGGAGGGGCGGGTCTTTTGCAGGCCGCTGCTGAGTGGTCGTCTTGTGCCACGCAGGGGCAGCTGCCGTTGGGGGCGCCCTTCGAATCGATGAGATGCGACCGACGTAAGGCGCTTTGAGTTGCCGAGGCATTTGAGAAACGCCGTATAAATGTCAAAAACATATTTTTTTTACAGTTATGGGTGGATGGGAGCATGCTCGAGTGAAGAATGGATGGGTGGGATGGGCTAGTCTAGGGGTGGGGAGATCAATGGATGAGTGAATTAATACACGAATGAATGAGTGGATGGTATAAATGATATAACGCGAGGAATGGATGAATCCGTTGATGGATAGATAGGAAGATGACTAAATGGACAGACTTGAAGGATAATTTGATGGATGAATCGACGGACGAGCGAATGGACACGTGAATGAACGGGTGAAACGGGTGGGTGGGTGGGTGGGTGGACGGATGATCCAGAAGGCCTAGAGGGGTCAGGCGCAGGGCTGGTAGACGAAGTTGGAGTTGAGGCAGGAGAAGTCCTGGAAGTCAGCCTGGTCGATCGTGGAGATGACCGTGTCGTCCGGCGGGGTGAGCATGGGCGCCGTCTTGGTGAAGAACTTGTCGAAGTTCTCCGCGTTCCTCCCGGCCTGGGACAACGGAGGACGCGGAGACACGGGGAGAGAGAGAGAGAGACAGAGACACGAGGGGAGAGACACGGGGAGTGACAGAGAGACACAGGGAGAGGCGGGGAGACACGTGGGGAGAGACACGGGGAGAGGCGGGGAGACACATGGGGAGAGACACGGGGAGTGATAGGGAGACACGGGAGAGGCGGGGAGACACGTGGGGAGAGACATGGGGAGTGATAGGGAGACACGGGGAGAGGCGGGGAGACACGGGGAGAGAGACAGAGAGACGAGGGGACAAACAGGGGAAGAGACAGATAGACACGGCGAGAGACACGGCGAGAGAGACACGGGGAGTGACAGGGAGACACAGGAGAGGTGGGGAGACACGTGGGGAGAGACAGATAGACGAGGGGACAAACAGGGGAAGAGACAGATAGACACGGCGAGAGACACGGCGAGATAGACACGGGGAGTGACAGGGAGACACGGGGAGAGACACGGCGAGAGAGACACAAGGGCATTACAACCATCGCAAGGGGAGTGGGAGAGACGCACGATTGGGATTACCCTGAGAGAAGCAGAGAGAAGGAGCACGTGGTTTAGAGGACACGCGCAGATTAATGGCACCGTTCTCTTGTTACAAGTCAACATCGGTACCCCCTCTGGATATACTCGTCCTCGCCATAGACAAGTGGAGTCTCCATCATTGGCTCAGGGCTGTAAACGGAAATTGGGTACCAACTGAGTGCCCATTTCGGCAATAAATCACCGTTCATTGATATGCGTGTTGAACTTCTTTCACGCTTTACATGGCGAACCGTGCTATTATTATAATATATATACACAGGTGTGCGTGTGTATAGGACAGGTGTGCGTGCTTGTGTGCAGGTGTTGCTGTTTGTGTGTGTACAGGTGGTGTGTGTAAAGGTGTGCGTGTGTACAGGTGTGCGTGTGTACAGGTTTGCGTGTGTATAGGGATATATGCGTGCTTGTGTGCAGGTGTTACTGTTTGTGTGTGTACAGGTCCCTGCATGCGTGTGTACAGGTCCCTGCATGCGTGCGTCGGGGAAGCGGTAGTGTAGTAGTTTGCGCACTGCGCTACAAACCCGGTGATCCGAGTTCGATTCCCTGCTCGCGGCCAACGCCAGTGACGATTATCTGAATCGGTCCCGGGTCTCCCCCTAGGTCGACTCAGCCTCAAGTGTGTACCTGGTGCGGTGCGTAGTAAACATCGCCACCGGGGGAGAAAAAGGCGGCTGGGCGTGGTGCTGGCCACCCCACCCCCTCGTTTACCGTTCTGGCCTTCGTAGGTGCTCGCTAACAGCACTCGCCTGTCGCAGGCTATGCGGTGTTTTGTCTGCGTGTGTGCGTGTGCGCGTGCGTACAGGTGTGTGCATGCATGCGTGTGTGCATGCGTGTGTGCATGCGTGTGTGTGCGTGCGTCACGAGCTAGAGAAGAGATTGAGTGATGTGGTACAGGAGGACGTGGAGCTGAGTAGACTTGCCGATGACTGGTACCAGCGGTGTCAAGATCGGCCTCTGTGGAGGAGGCTCGTGAAGGACGCTACTGGGCAGTTGGAGGCAGTCGCCCTCCTGTTGTGAGCGACGCTCACAACAACGAGCGGAGCGCCGGGTGGCTAAAGCACAGCAAGTTGGCATAGTCGGGGGCACAGGTGGTGCATCAACCAGTCATCTCGGTCATCTCAATCAGTCGATCCGGGGCACCTGGGTCTGCCCCGTGACCTCCTGCCAGCGGGCGTTCGACACTTCACGTGGCCTCAAGGTGCACATGGCCTGGCACAAGCGTCGTGGTGACGTCACCGCCACTTAGTGGCGAATGGCGGTTGTTGTTGTTGTGTGCATATGTTTTTGCGTGTGTGTGTGTCCGTGTGTGCGTGTGTGTGTACGTTTGTGCGTGTATGTGCGTGCAGGTGCGTGCGTGTGTGCGTGTGTGTGCGTGTGTGCGTGTGTGTGCATGTGTGTGTGCGCGGAAGGTGAGCAGCGTCGCACCGCCTTGGGCCGGAACGGCGGCTGCACCTCGCGTCTCTGCAGGCGCTCCCAGTCGATGCGACGGAAGAACACGTGCTCGCGCACGTCTCTCTCGCCGTCCGCCCCGCAGCCCAGCCGCTTGCCAGGGTGCTTCGTCATGAACTGAGGGAGGGAGCGGCGGGGAGGGGGGGGGGCAGAGCAGGGGGTGATGTACACAGTCGGGGGGGGGGGGTGCGCAACTGATGTGTCATCGATGACGGTAGCGGCGTCGTCGATCGCCACGAGCATCAACAAAGATGACGGCGTCGACGTCAACGTCCGCGACACGTGGCGCGAGCGACATCAATGGGCGATGACGATGGCGATGACGTCGGTGATGACGGTGACATCAGTGACGTCGATGGCGTCTTTGTGGAAGACCCCCCGTGCCTGATCTCGACCGACTCTCGTTCCTTGATCCTCAAAGGATGTCCCCAGCAGTGGCGCAGCGGTGAAAGCGCTCTGCGCTACGAACCCGGCGACCCCGGTTCCATTCCAGCTCACGGCCAGCACACTCGTGCAGCTCACGGCCAACACACTAGCGATGATTATCTCAACCGGTCCAGGGTCCTCCCCAGACGTGCATACGTCCATGCATCGCACGCGCACGCACATCCAAGCCCTTCTTCGACAGATGTGTGGGTCGGATGACGCACGCGCGCGCGCGTAACGCGTGCGTCGTGACAACTCCCCGACCCCCATCCATCCACCCGACGCAAGACAGACAACGAACTTTGACCAATTCGTTTTTTTGCTTTGTTCCGACAGCTTCCGGCACACGGTCGGTGTCCGTCTCGTCACGAGCGGTCGCGACGTGCCCCATCCCCCTCCCGCCCCGCTCGGTCCCCCAAGGAGGGGTGAGGGGGGTAGTGGTCATTGCCGCCACACGTGGTCATCGGAGACGGAGCCGAACGTGTTCCCGCGCGGCGCGTCCCACAATCAGAATCTATTTGTTTGTACGGGAGGGATCCGATGAGCTAATGAAGATCTCCCCCCCCCCCCCCCCCCCACAGATGTCCGGTAGGTCTCTCTTCCCTGGCCGAATTATTCGGCGATGCTGCTGCTGCTGCAACAGCCAACGAAGTCAAAATCAATACTGACAACACTGCACGTGGTCATGAGTGGAGATGGAAAGGTACGCAGAAAAGGTGACTTTTCGGTCAGTGGCTCTTCTAAGGTATTATTATTCACTCTAAATGGGGTTGACATTTGTGTTTTGCAGCAAGAAGGGCCTGGGTTCGACTCCTGACTCGGGTACCATTCTCCGTGGAGTTTGTATGCCCCCCCCCCCCCCCGCTACCGCTATTCGGCATCCCATAGTGAAAAACAAACGAGGCAATGGCTTTTTGATTTAAAGCTTTCGTGACTGCAGGGATTCATATTCTTGGTTCTTTCGGTAAAGTCACGTAGAAGGGAAATAATAAATAATAATTGTTTTTTTTTATTTCCCTTCTACGTGACTTTACTGAAAGAACCAAGAATATGAGGCAATGGCTGTTGGCCAAACGGCTCGACGCAGGCTTTTCTGTGCGAATACGTAAAATATATCGTCTTATAATTATTATAATTATTATAAACGCAATACATACCGTCTTATTATTATATTATAATTTCAACATAAATTTTCTACCGCCATATTATTTTATAATAATTATTATAAACGCAATATAAACCGTCTTCTAATTATTATATTCGACAATTTGGCCTTGGACGTTATCCACTCAGAGTCTTCGGTGATCGAGATATATTTAAATAAATACCAAACTAAAACTATTTTTATTTTGCCAGGTAAGGCCCACTGAGCTGCATGGCTCTTTTTCCACAGCGACCTGGCCACAAATGAGAGCCCAACGAGGTGGCTTCTCGTCACGTGGACATTTGATTCTAAATGTGGAGGGGAAAACCGGAGGACCCGGAGAAAAATCCACGCGGCCATATACAGCAGCAGACGTCAGGGTCGGGATCGAACCCACGACCTCCTGTGTACCAGGCGAGGTAGTTAACATCTCCTAGCCACCGTGTTGATGATGAGAGAGACACGCAAACTCCAAATACACAGCAGCAGGTGTCAGGGTCTGGATCGAACACACAACCTCCTGTATACCGGGCGAGGTGGTTAACATCTCTTAGCCACCGTGATGATGATGATGATGAGAGACAGAGACACGCAAAACTCCAAATATACAGCAGCAGACGTCAGGGTCGGGATCGAACCCACGACCTCCTGTGTACCAGGCGAGGTAGTTAACATCTCCTAGCCACCGTGTTGATGATGAGAGAGACACGCAAACTCCAAATATACAGCAGCAGGCGTCAGGACCGGGATCGAACCCACGGCCTCCTGTAGACCAGGCGAGGTAGTTAACATCTCCTAGCCACCGTGTTGATGATGAGAGAGAGACACACAAACTCCAAATACACAGCAGCAGGCGTCAGGTTCGGGATCGAACACACGACCTCCTGTATACCAGGCGAGGTAGTTAACATCTCTTAGCCATCGCGGATACGCGGTGTACTTGTCGACCTCGTGTGTTGGCCTCCGCTCTCCGTGGGACGCGACGTTGCACGGGGCACGCGCGCAGAGAGCGCGCTGGGTGGGGGGTTGGGGGTACACAACGAGACGGAGCGCGAGAGAGAGCGAGAGAGGGGGGGGGGGGTGCCGCGATTGAAGTGACTTCAGAAGTAGCTCCATGACATCATCTTCCGCCCCCTCTGTCGTGCGGGCCGCCTCTCTGAAGCGAAGGTGGCCCCCACCACACCACCCCCCACCACACCACCCCCCACCACCACCCCCACCACTCCCCACCAAACCACCCCCCACCACACCACCCCCCACCCCACCACACCACCACCACCCCCCACCACACCACCCCCCACCACACCACCCCCCACCACCACCCCCACCACTCCACCCCCCACCACCACCACCGCCACCCCACCACACCACCCCCCACCCCACCACACCACCACCACCACACCACCACCCCCACCACACCACCCTACCCCCCACCCCAACACCCCAACCACTCCACCACCACACCACCCCCCACCACACCACCCCCCACCACACCACCCCCCACCACCACCCCCCACCACCACCACCACCACACCACCACCTCCACCAAACCACTCCCCACCACACCATCCCCCACCCCACCACACCACCCCCTACCCCAACCACTCCACCACCCACCACCACACCACGCGCTGCTCGCTGGGAGCGCTCCGAAGGTGAAATTGTAAATTTGGTGACAACGCGACTCTGCTCACGACCGTGCGTGCGAGAGGCGGTGGGGAGGTTCGGCGTGGGGGGGGGGTGGAGGCGAAGCAACAATTAAAATGAATCACGGCAGGGCTCCGAGAGGGCTGCTTTGTGGGGGGACCCCCCCCCCCATCCCCGGACGCGTCTTTGTTGACTTTGTGACGCTGCGGGCGCCGTGCGTATTTAATTTATTTGCGACCAGCTTCGCGCGGCTTGATCTATTATTCATGTTAGAGGCGGATAAAGGTCGGGCCCGTGACCTCTCACGCCACCGCGTGCGCGTGTGTGTCACGTGTGTGTGTGTCGTGTGTGTGTGTCACGTGTGTGTCGCGTGTGTGTGTCGTGTGTGTCACGTGTGTGTGGTGCTGGCGGGAGTGTGGGCGGTGGTGGTATGGGGAGCGGTGGGTGTAGCGGTTAGCGCCACGCTGCGCTACGAACCTGGCGACCCGGGTTCGATTCCCGCTCACGGCCAACGCCCAGTGACGATTGTCTGAACCGGTCCTGGGCCTCCCCTAGGTCGACTCAGCCTCACATTAGTACCTGGTGCGGTGTGTAATTATCGCCACTCGGGAAACAAAGGCGGCCGGGCGTGGTGTTGGCCACCCATCCTCCCGTGTGCCGTGCCGGCCTTTCTAGGTGCTCGCTAACAGCACTTGCCCCTACAGTCTGTTAAGGCTATACGGGGGATCTTTATCTTTTTTTGGTGGTGATGGGATTGCAGTTGTGGTAGGTGGCGGTAGTATTGGCCGTGGTGGTGGTGGTGGTTGTAGTGGTGGTGGGATTGTGGTTGTGGTAGTGGTGGCAGTGTTGGCCATGGTGGTGATGGTAGTGGTGGTGGGATTGTGGTTGTGGTGGTTGTAGTGGTGGTGCGGTTGTGATAATAGCACGGTTGGCTATGTACGATGCGAAAGAAGTTCAACACAGACAAACAAACATACGTAAAGTAGTGGTGGGCAGATTGGAGTGCGTGGTCATTGATAGTAATACGAACACTGGCGCTACCAGCAGATTGGAGTAGATGCTGAGAGGCCACGAGCAGCAGTAGCAGCAGCAGTAGGAGCAGCAGCAGTAGCAGCAGCAGCAGGAGCAGTAGCAGCAGGGGTAGCAGCAGTAGTAGCAGCAGCTGTAGTAGCAGAAATAGCAGTAACAGCAACAGTAGCAGCAGCAGCAGCAGCAGGAGCAGCAGCAGCAGGAGCAGCAGCAGGAGCAGCAGTAGTAGCAGAAGCAGTAGCAGCAGAAGCAGCAGCAGGAGTAGCAGCAGCAGGAGCAGCAGCTGTAGTAGCAGAAATAGCAGTAACAGCAACAGTAGCAGCAGGAGCAGCAGCAGTAGCAGCAGCAGCAGGAGCAGCAGCAGCAGGAGCAGCAGCAGCAGGAGCAGCAGCAGTAGCAGAAGCAGTAGCAGCAGAAGCAGCAGCAGGAGTAGCAGCAGCAGGAGCAGCAGCTGTAGTAGCAGTAGTAGCAGCAGCAGCAACAGCAGGAGCAGCAGCAGCAGTATGAGCAGCAGCAGGAGCAGCAGCAGTAGCAGAAGCAGTAGGAGCAGTAGGAGCAGTAGCAGCAGTAGCTCATTGTGGGCGCTCTGCTCAGCCGTAGCTCGTTATTGGACAGCAACCGCTGTTTTTTGGAGATCGGCCAAGCGTGACGCCGGAAAGCCCCACATCCAATTTTAATGAAATGTAAATGTAGTGTCATCCGCATATACATGGGACGGGATTTAGGAGTGGTGGTTATGTGGTGGTGGCGGCGGTGGTGGAAGTGGTGGTTGTGGTGGTGGAAGTGGTGGTTGTGGTGGTGGTTGTGCTGGCGGTTGTCGTGGCCGTTGTGTTGGTAGTGGTGGTTGTGGTCATTGCGATGGTTATGGTGGTGGTTGTGGTAGTTGTTGAGCTAGTGTCGGTTGTGGTAGTGATGGTTTAAGGTGGTGGTTGTGATGGTGGTGGTAGTGGTGGTTGTGGCAGTGATGGTGGTTGGTGGTGGTTGTGGTAGTGATGGTGGTGATGGTTGTGATGGTGGTGGTAGTAGTGGTTGTGGTAGTGATGGTGGTGGTGATGGCTGTGGTAGTGATGGTGGTTGTTGGTGGTAATTGTGGTAGTGATGGTGGTGGTGGTTGTGGTAGTGATGGTGGTGGTGGTTGTGGTTGTGATGGTGGTGGTAGTGGTGGTTGTGGTAGTGATGGTGGTTGTTGGTGGTGATTGTGGTAGTGATGGTGGTGGTGGTTGTGGTAGTGATGGTAGTGGTGGTTGTGGTAATGATGGTGGTGAAAGTGGTGGTTGTGGCAGTGATGGTGGTTGGTGGGCCACCAGCTAATCAATACGCGTGTGCATGTGTGTATCGATGAGTATCGGTGCTACTCGCGAAGATCTTTGTCTTTGTCAGTGAGTGGCTATTATCCGAACCGGGCTGGCGCCTACAAAATAGGTCGCCTCAGTCTCCAATGGGTATCTGGTGCGGCGTGTAAGCGTCGGCACTCACTGCGGGGAGACAAAGGCGGTCGGGCGTGGTGCCAGTGACACCAACCCCCGTCGTGTGCCGTGTGCCGCCCTTCATCATATTCAGGTGCTTTGGCTACCCGAACGCTCGAGGAGGGGGGGCTGATGCCAGTCGGCTCATAAGCATCGAGCAAACGGCCACGTCGCTCATTCGGGCTCCGGGCAAAGCAGCTCTTGCCGTGGTTCGCGGCGCGAAACGTCGGACACGACCCCGGAAAACGTTGCGTTTCGGGCGGGCCGGACGCGGGCAGGCGGGCGGTATGGAAACGTGGAGAGATTCGGTTACTCGGAGATGCGCGATAATAATAGACGGAGCGGGATCGCTACGGGTTTGGGGGGGGGGGGAGGTGGAATCAACTGGAATCGATTGTCGGGAGCGGGCGGCACGGCAAGGTCGATGGCGCTCTTTGTCATCCCATTGGAGATTGCGTAACGCCACCGGGATCTGGACTCGGGGAGTTGAGCGCTCACAGATGACTGCGTGGTGCTGATGGTGCCACGGGGGGGTAGTTTTGTGCGAGAGTTTCAATGGACCAATCACACCCCCCCCCCACTCCATCAACAGCCCCCCCCCCCTACCTCCACCCCCCCCCCAACTCCATCACGACCAATCCCCCTCCCTCCACCCCCCAACTCCACCCCCCCCCAAGCCCCCGCCCGACTCTCCTCCCAACCCCCCGTGGCTCTGCGTGGGCGGCACGACGGCCGTGTAAGTGTGGCAAATGCTCGAGTACATCACGTGCGTCGGTGTGTGTATGTGCGTCGGTGTGTGTCTGTGTGTGTCTTTGTATGGGGACTTCGGGTGTGTGGGGTGTGTGTGGGGTGTGTGTGTGTGGGGTGTGTGTGTATGTGGGGTCTGTGTGTGGGGTGTGTGTGTGTGGTTTGTGTGTGTGTGGGGTCCGTGTGTGAGTGTGTGCGTGTGTGTGCGTGTGTGTGCGTGTGTGTGCGTGGGGAGCGGTGGGTATAGTGGTTAGCGCGCTGCGCTATGGACCCTGGCGACCCGAGTTCGATTCCCGCTCACGGCCAACACCAGTGACGATTATCTGAACCGGTCCTGTGCCACCCCTAGGTCGACTCAGCCTCAAATTAGTACCTGGTGCGATGTGTAAACATCGCCACTGGGGAGACAAAGGCGGTCGGGCGTGGTGCTGTGTGCCGTTCCGGCCTTCATAGGTGCTCACTAACAGCACTTGCCCTTACAGTCTTTCAAGGCTATACGGGGGTCTTTGTTTCTTTAATGTATCTGTATGTATGTATATGTATCTGTGTACCTGTGTATATATCTTTGTGTATATGTGTGTGTGTACCTGTGTGTATGTACATGTGTGCGTATGTATCTGTGTGCGTATGTATCTTTGTGTATGCATCTGTGTGTCTGTGTACGTGTGGGGGGGGGACGAGGTGGAGGAGGATGAGAGGGACCCCTCCCCCCTCCCCCCTCCCCCCCACGGAGCTGAGCTGCTCACCTGGCGCGTGGCTCTTTACCTGCTCGGCGCTCCGCTCCATTATTCATCAGAGACAACATCAAGGGGCTCGCGTGCGGGCCCTGCACCCCGCGTGCATGGACTGAACCTCGCCACCACAGGACGCGCGGGGAGGCCACGGCTGGGGTTAAGCGTTGGGTTAAGGGTTAAACGAGGTGAGGGGTGAAGGGTTAAGCGTTGGATTAAAGGTTAAACGAGGTGAGGGGTGAAGGGTTAAGGGTTAAGTGTTGGGTTAAGGGTTAAACTAGGTGAGGAGTTAAGGGTTAAGCGTTGGGTTAAGGGTTAAACTAGGTTAGGGGATAAGGGTTAAGAGTTGGGTTAAGGGTTAAACTAGGTGAGGGGTTAAGGGTTAAGCGTTGGGTTAAGGGTTAAACTAGGTGAGGGGTTAAGGGTTTAGAGTTGGTGTAAGGGCTAGGCGAGGTTAGGGGTTAAGTTCCGGGTCCAGGTAATGGATTAAGGATCAGCCTACGTCAGGGGTTTATGGTTGGGCTAGGTCAGGGGTTAAGACTTAGGCTGGGTTACGGGTTAAGGTTGGGGCTGGTGTAGAGTTGAGCTCGGCCCGTGGTGATAGGTGAGGGGTGACGGCTTGGACTGGGGGTCAGTTTGAAGACTGCGATGACGATGGTGACGATGGTGATGATCATGAGCTGCTGGGTTCGCGTCAGGACGGGATGAGGCTCGGAGGTCAGGGCCAGGAGTTGATGGAAGGACCCCCCCCCTGCCCCCCCTGCCCCCCTGCCCCCCCCCCCTGTCCCCCTGCCCCTCCCCCTTCTCCCCCCGTGACCTTCCTGTCATCCCCGCTCACTCTCCCGCGTGCCCGCCGCCACGTGCTGATCACGTGACGGCCAACGCCTCCTAAACCCCCTTCCTCAGCCTCGGTGCTGCTCCACCCACCCCCCCCCACCCCCCGAGGAAGGTCACACGGATAGACGAGGTGGGGGGGGGGGAAGAGTGGGGGCAGGAAAGGAGGGTGGGGGCCACCGTATTCTCAGGAGGGGTCACCTGGGTGCGTTCATCAAGGGCACGGGAGGGGGTTGGTGGAGGAGGGGTGGGTTGGTGGTTGTGGATGAACTTCCGGAGGGCGTCAACGCGAGCATCGTGTCTCGACATTGTAACCCCGTAGCACTGAGGACGACCGAACAACCGAGGAGATGGAGCGACGAGATCGGGTTCCGTGTGGATTGTCCGGCGCTTCTCTCTCTCGGGACTGTGAGACGCTCCGGAAGAAATAGCGCGACGCGTCCCCCCAAAAAGCCTGTGTCGCGTGTCAGTCAAGTTCTACGCGTTGTGACAAGGGGACACGGGGACACGGGGACACAGAGACAGGGAGACACGGGGACAGGGAGACACGGGGACAGGGAGACACGGGGACAAGGAGACACGGGGACAGGGAGACACGGAGACACGGGGACATGGGGACACGCGGACATGGGGACAGGGAGAAACAGAGACAGGGAGACACGGGGACAGGGAGACACGGGGACAGAGAGACACGGGGACAAGGAGACACGGGGACACAGGCACAGGGACACGGGGACACGGGGACATGGGGACACGGGGACATGGGGACACGGGGACACGGGGACATGGGGACAGGGAGACACAGAGACAGGGAGACACGGGGACAGGGAAACACGGGGACACGGGGACACGGAGACACAGGGACACGGGGACACGCACCCCTTTGCAGATGGACACCGCCTCGCGGGACATGGCCTTGGGGTAGGAGACGCTGTGCTCCATGATGGACTGGAACAGCTCCTCCTCGTCCTCCCCGTCAAACGGCGGCTGCACGACATCATCAGCGGCATCATCATCGTCATCAGCGGCATCATCATCGTCATCAGCGACATCATCAGCAGCATCAGTGGCATCATCGTCATCATCGTCATCAGCGACATCAGTGGCATCATCAGCAGCATCAGTGGCATCATCATCGTCATCAGCGACATCATCATCGTCATCAGCGGCATCATCATCGTCATCAGCGACATCATCAGCAGCATCAGTGGCATCATCGTCATCATCGTCATCAGCGACATCAGTGGCATCACCAGCAGCATCAGTGGCATCATCATCGTCATCAGCGACATCATCATCGTCATCAGCGGCATCATCATCGTCATCAGCGGCATCATCATCATCATCAGCGACATCATCAGCAGCATCAGTGACATCATCGTCATCAGCGACATCAGTGGCATCATCGTCATCATCGTCATCAGCGGCATCATCATCGTCATCAGCGACATCATCAGCAGCATCAGTGACATCTTCGTCATCAGCGACATCAGTGACATCAGTGGCATCATCAGCAGCATCAGTGGCATCATCATCGTCATCAGCGACATCATCATCGTCATCAGCGGCATCATCAGCAGCATCAGTGGCATCATCATCATCGTCATTAGCGACATCAGCGGCATCATCAGCAGCATCAGCGGCATCATCATCATCGTCATCAGCGACATCATCAGCGGCATCAGCGGCATCATCAGCAGCATCAGTGGCATCATCGTCATCAGCGACATTAGCGGCATCATCATCGTCACCATCACCCAGTCCATCAACACGCGAGGGTGATGACGTTCAGTGGTGCAGGTGATGCGTGGCGCAGGTGATGAGAGGTGCAGGTGATGAGTGGTGCAGGTGTTGGGTGGTACAGGTGTTGGGTGGTACGGCTGTTGTACAGGTGTTGTACAGGTGTGGGGTGGTTCAGGTGTTGTACAGGTGTTGTACAGGTGTGGGGTGGTACAGGTGTTGTCCAGGTGTGCAGGTGTGGGGTGGTACAGGTGTTGTAGAGGTGTTGTAGAGGTGTGAGGTGGTGCAGGTGTTGTACAGGTGTTGTACAGGTGTTGTACAGGTGTTGTACAGGTGTGGGTTGCTACAGGTGTTGTAGAGGTGATGTACAGGTGTTGTACAGGTGTTTTAGAGGTGTTGTAGAGGTGTGCTGGTGAGCACCTGTCCAGCCAGCATCTCGTACAGAAGAACTCCAAACGCCCACCAGTCCACGGACTTCCCGTAAGGCTGATACGCGATGATCTGATGCGAGCACAACGCATCACACACATACACATCACACACAACGCATCACACACAAAGATATCACACACAACACATCACACACAACGCATCACACACAAACACATCACACACAACGCATCACACACAAACACATCACACACAACGCATCACACACAAACACATCACACACACAACGCATCACACACAAACACATCACACACAAACACATCACACACAACGCATCACACAAAAACGCATCAGACACAAACGCATCACACACAAACACATCACACAAAAACACATCACACACAACACATCACACACAACGCATCACACACAAACACATCACACACAAACACATCACACACAAACACATCACACACAAACACATCACACACAAAACGCATCACACACAACGCATCACACACAAACACATCACACACAACGCATCACACACAAACGCATCGCTGCTGGATGAAGGCCTCTGTAGGCCGCCACCAGCCTGCGCACGGAGCTGATTTCATCGCTCCATCTCCGCGGGGGGCGTTCTCTCTCGCAGGCTCCGTGATTGCTGCGGGCGCCGGTTGAGACACTGGCCGTGAGCAGGAAATCAAACAGGGTCGCCGGGTTCATGGCGCGGTGTGCGCTAACCGCTGCGCCACCACTCTCTTATACACAACAACAACAACCGCTGTTTGCCACTGAGTGGCGGCAGATGTCACCACGGCGCCTGTGCCAGGCTAGGTGCACTTTGAGGCTATTGCGTGCCACTACCACTACCACTAATACCACCCTCAATACCACCACCACTAATACCACCCTCAATACCACCGCCACTACCACAACCAACAGCCCCACCACCAGCACCACCACCAGCATCACCACCACCAGCACCACTACCACCACCACCAGCACCACTACCACCACCACCAATACCACCCTCAATACCACCGCCACTACCACAACCAGCACCACCACCAGCACCACCACTAGCACTACCAGCACCACCACTACCCCAGCACCACCACAACCACCAGCACCACCAGTACCACCACCATCAGCACAACAACAACCGCCATTCGCCACTAAGTGGCGGTGACGTCACCACGGCGCCTGTGCCAGGCTATGTGCACGTTGAGGCCACGTGAAGTGTCGAAGGCTCGCTGCTGGCAGGAGGTCACGGTACAGACCCAGGTGGTGCCACGGGTTGACTGGCTGAGCTGACCGGCGGATGCACCACCTGCGCCCCCAACTGTGCCCACTCGCTCTGTGTGTAAACTGCCCAGAGCTCCACTCATTGGAGTGGACAAGACAAATGACAAAGATCCCCCTTGTTGTATAGTCTCAGCAGACTTTTGGGGCAAGTGCTGTTAGCGAGCACAGCACACGAGGGGGTGGGTGGCCAGCACTACGCCCGGCCACCTTTATCTCCTTATTCCGATGATTACACACCGCCCCACGTACCCATTATAGGCTCAATCGACCTAGGGGAGGCCCAGGACCGGTTCAGATAATCATCACTAGTGTTGGCCGTGTGCTGGAATCGGAACTCAGGTCGCCGGGTTCATAGCGCCCCCCCCCACACACACACACCCACCTCCCCTTAGCATGGTTGGGTACGTACGGTGCGAACGAAGTTCGACGCGCACGCATGTTGAACTTCTTACGCACCGTACGTGGCAAACCGCATGCCCTCCAGCAACTGGAGAGCGTCTCATGGATTCGAACCGCGAGACCGCCATCGCTTCGCGCGACGTATAAGAATAATACGAATAATTACACGTTTCACTTTCTGACAACCTCATTTTAAAAAGAGTGGTGAGAGAGAGACGGGGGGGGGGGGGGGGGGGAGAGCGGCGCGGTTATTTCGGGCGTGCGGACGGACGGACGGATAAGCGCCGTGTTCTTCCCTCTCGTTCTGAGCTTTGGCACATTCGTATCTCTCCCTCCTCCCCCCTCCTCCTCTCTCTCTCTTCCCCTGCCCCCCCCCCTCTCTGTGTCTCTCTCTCTTCCCCTGCCCCCCCCCCCTCTCTGTGTCTCTCTCTCTCTCTCTTCCCCTGCCCCCCCCTCTCTTTGTGTGTGTCTCTCTCTCTTTCCCTCTCTCTGTGTCTCTCTCTCTCTTCCCCTGCCCCCCCCCTCTCTTTGTGTGTGTCTCTCTCTCTTTCCCTCTCTCTGTGTCTCTCTCTCTCTCTTCCCCTGCCCCCCCCCCTATCTTTGTGTGTGTCTCTCTCGCACTCTTCCCCTGCCCCCCCCCCTCTGTGTCTCTCTCTCTTCCCCTGCCCCCCCTCTCTGTGTGTGTCTCTCTCTCTCTTCCCCTGCCCCCCCCTCTCTGTGTTTCTCTCTCTTCCCCTGCCCCCCCCCTCTCTGTGTCTCTCTCTCTTCCCCTGCCCCCCCCCTCTCTGTGTCTCTCTCTCTTCCCCAGCCCCCGTCCCCCTCTCTGTGTCTCTCTCTCTCTTCCCCTGCCCCCCCTCTCTCTCTCTCTTCCCCTGCCCCCCCTATCTGTGTCTCTCTCACTCTTCCCCTGCCCCCTTCTCTGTGTGTCTCTCTCACTCTTCCCCTGCCCCCCTCTCTGTGTCTCTCTCTCTCTCTCTTCCCCTGCCCCCCCCCTCTCTGTCTCTCTCACTCTTCCCCTGCCCCCCCCCCCTCTTTGTGTGTGTCTCTCTCGCACTCTTCCCCTGCCCCCCCCCCCCTCTGTGTCTCTCTCACTCTTCCACTGCGCCCCCCCGCTCTCTGTGTGTCTCTCTCTCTTCCCCTGCCGCCCCCCTCTGCGTCTCTCTCACTCTTCCACTGCCCCCCCCCGCTCTCTGTGTGTCTCTCTCTCTTCCCCTGCCGCCCCCCTCTGCGTCTCTCTCACTCTTCCACTGCCCCCCCCCCCGCTCTCTGTGTGTCTCTCTCTCCAGCTGGCATTCAGATGAAGCTCACGGCGGGCTTTATCATCATCGCCACGATCTGTCGCCACGTCGTCGTAGTCGTCGTGGTCGTCGTAAATGTCTCCACCGCTATCATTGTCGTCATCATCGTGATCGTCATCAATGTCTACACCGCTATCATTGTCGTCATCATCGTGATCGTCATCAATGTCTACACCGCTATCATCGTCGTCATCGTGATCGTCATCAATGTCTCCACCGCTATCATTGTCGTCATCATCATGATCGTCGTCAATGTCTTCACCGCGATCATGGTCGTCATCATCGTGATCGTCATCAATGTCTCCACCACAATCGTCGTCGTCATCATGATCGTCATCAATGTCTACACCGCGATCATCGTCGCCATCATCATGATCGTCATGAATGTCTACACCGCGATCATCGTCGTCATCATCATGATCGTCATCAATGTCTACACCGCTATCATTGTCGTCATCATCATGATCGTCGTCAATGTCTACACCGCAATCATCGTCATCATCATGATCGTCATCAATGTCTCCAATGCTATCATCGTCATCATCATGATCGTCGTCAATGTCTTCACCGCTATCATCGTCATCATCATGATCGTCATGAATGTCTACACCGCAATCATCGTCATCATCATGATCGTCATCAATGTCTTCACCGCTATCATTGTCGTCATTGACATCATGATCGTCATCAATTTCTCCACCACAATCATCGTCATTGTCATCATGATTATTATCAACATCTCCACCACAATCGTCATGATCATGATCGTCGTGAATGTCACACCATAACTGTCATCACTGACAATATGGCTACAATCATCTTAAATCACGATTGAGCATTGAAATTATTGTTGTGGTGAAATTTCTGACGCTGTTAATGATTATGGTTGTGGTGTAACACGTCAGCAACACTGCCGTCACCTCCCAATGTCAGCAAAGACAAAGATCCCCCGTGTAGCCTTATCAGAATGTTGAGGCAAAGTGCTGTTAGCGAGCACCTATGAAGGCCGGCACGGCACACGAGGGGGTGGGTGGCCAGCACTATTCCCCGGCCGCCTTTGTCTTCCCAGTGGTAATGTTTACACACTGCACAAGGTAGTCTTTTGAGGCCGAGTCGACCTAGAGGAAGCCCAGCACCGTTTCAGATCATCGTCACCAATGTTGGCGGTGAGCGGGAATCGAACTCGGGTAACAGGGATCCTAGCACAGCATGCTGACCACTGCCACCATCGCCACCATCACCACGATCACAACCATCACCACTGCCACCATCACCACCATCACCACTATCACTACCATCACCACTGCCACCATCACCACCATCACCACTATCACTACCATCACCACTCCCACCATCACTGCCACCACCGTCACCACTATCACTACCATCACCACTGCCACCATCATCACCACTATCACTACCATCACCACCATCACCACCATCGCCACCATTAACCTTCACCCCATCCTTGATCCGTGTCTGGTCAGGCGAAAGTTTTCGATGACAAAAAAGAGACATCAGAAATTTTATTTTTTCCCCCATGAGACGTGGGGGGGGGGGTAGGCTGCTGTGAGGGGCGCAGCTAACAGCTTCACATTGATTCACACACGAGGTGATGGCGTTGGAGGGGAGGTAGTAGTGGTGATGGGATGTGGCTTGGGGAGGGAGTGAGAGGGGGAGGGGTGTGGGTAAAGATTCATCACGTTCGTTGAGTAGCAGCAGGGATTTTCATGAAGTGTCCGCGTCTCTATTTTTCTCTCTCTCTCTTTTGTTCGCATATCTCTCTGGAGGATGTCTCAATCTGTCTGTCCCTTTGCATCTGCCTCTGACTCTCTCTCTCCGTCCGTATCTCTGTACCTCTCTGTCTCTCTGTCTGTCTCTCTGTTTCTCTGTCTCTCTGTCTGTCTGTCTCTCTGTCTGTCTGTCTCTCTGTCTGTCTGTCTGGGTTTCTGTCTCTCTGTCTCTCTGTCTGTCTGTCTCTCTGTCTCTCTGTCTGTCTGTCTGGGTTTCTGTCTCTCTGTCTCTCTGTCTGTCTGTCTCTCTGTCTCTCTGTCTCTCTGTCTGTCTGTCTGGGTTTCTGTCTCTCTGTCTGTCTGTCTCTCTGTCTCTCTGTCTGTCTCTCTGTCTCTCTGTCTGTCTGTCTGGGTCTCTGTCTCTTCGCACGTCTCACTGCCTGCCGGACATGGGGAGCAGAGAGAGTCGGACAGAGCGACGGGACAGTTGGAACACGAGAGAGAAACACAGAAAGATAGGAGGTGGACAAAGAGATTGCGGAGAGAGACACGAGGAGAGAGGTCATAGACGGGGATGGGGGTGCGAGGGGTGGGGAGGTGTGGGCCCCCCTTCCCGCCCCCAGGGGAGAAAGAAGAGAAGGGGGGGGGGGGTCACTGGAGATCGGCTCAGACAGCTGGAATCTCGGCTTCCCGAAGGGAAATAAAAACCACTGCGATCCGTGACCTCGCAAGGTCAGCACGGCTCGATACGCTCGCTCCAATCGCTCGCCAGTCGTGCCACGTCGTCGTCATCATCGTCATCATCATCGTCATCGTCGGCATTGTCATCATCATCGTCATCGTCGTCATCGCCTTCGTCGTCACCGTCGTCATCGTCGTCATCGTCGTCATCGCCGTCATCGTCGTCGCTGTCGTCATCGTCGTCATCATCGTCGTCATCGTCGTCATCATCGTCGTCATCGTCGTCGCCGTCGTCATCGTCGTCTTCGTCGTCATCGTCGTCATCGTCATCATCGTCGTCATCGTCGTCGTCGTCATCATCGTCGTCATCGTCGTCGTCATCGTCATCATCGCCGTCGTTGTCACCATCGCCATCGTCGCCATCAAGAACGAGGTCATCGTTATCGCCCTTCGTCAGCGTCGCCACTCGCCGTAGTCGCAAGCGACAAGAGTCATCGTCGGCCTCGTCGTCATCTTCGTTGGCGCCATCGACCCGTCGCCACGATCACGGTGGTATGACGACGACGACGTCATAGTCAGTGTCACCTAGGTCGACCGAGCCAAAAATAACGACGCGGCAAAATGAGCGGCCCTCGACGACGCCGCATCGTGATGGCCACGGCAGCAGCACTGGGGATACAAAAGCGTGCGTCACGTGCGTGCCCCCCCCCCCATCCCCCCCCCCCCCCCCCCACATACCACAACAGCACCGCCGGCCTTAATAGGTGCTCGCTAACAGCGCTCACCCCATACAATGGCCTCATTTGTCTTTTGACGAATGTCGTTTTTCGGGGCCATAATGGCACAGACCCCGGTGTGACCCCCTCTCCCGTCACCCCCGGCCCGACCCCCTCGCATCATCCCCTCGGGGGAGATTCACGCTTCGCCTGCAATGCCGGCAGCTTCTTGAGGCGTTCGCTAATTAATCCGCTAACTCATTCGCCATTCAATCATTCATGAGGAGGGCGAGTCCACGTGCACACGCGCAGACTCCCACACACGTACACATATATACAAAGACAAAGTATCCCACCCCCCCCCCCCCGTATAGCCTTAGCAGACGTTTGGGGCAAGTGCTGTAGCACCTACGAAGGGCGGCACTGTGGCACACGAGGGGGGGGTGGGTGACCAGCACCACGCCCGGCCGCCTTTGTCTCCCTAGCGGCGAGGTTTACACACCGCACCAGGTACTCATTTGAGGCCGAGTCGACCTAGGGGAGGCCCAAGCCCGGTTCAGAGAATCGCCACTCACCGACACACACGCACACGCAACGCACGCGCATATTTATTTGCTGGTGACCCAAGGGAACTGCCACCCAGATTGTTGTTGTTTGTTCAGGAACTCGTGACGCTGTCTGCACAGAGCACAGAGGCCGAGTTCAGATGCCCACCACTGACGGTGGCCGCGAGTTCGCGGTCACCAAACTCGCGTCGCCGGGGTTCGTAGCTACGGTGCTCGCTAACCACGGCACCACCGCTCCCCCCAAACGCCGGGGGGGTGAGGGTCACCCCCAGGGGGGGGGGGGGTGAGGGTCACCCTACCGGAGCCCCGCCCTGCACGATGTTCAGAAAGCGTGCCTGTTGATGGACGAGAATGCGACTCTTGTGGTGCGAGTGGATGTGTCGTGGCAAGAGAGAGGCTCTCTCCTCCTCGCCTGTGTCACCAATGATCTTAGTCGTCGTTCACGCGCAGCACGGAGCTCCACACGCATTGCACAACCACCACCACCAACACCAACACCCACCACAACCACACCACCAACACAACCACACCACCACCACAACCACATCACCACCACCACCACAACCACACTACCAACATCCGCCACCGTGTGAGCGTGCGTGTGTCTTTGTGTGCTGAGCGGTGGTGCAGCGGTTAGCGCGCTGCGCTATGCATCCCGAGAGTTCAATTCCCGCACGCGGTCAACACTGGTGACGATTATCTGAACAGGTTATGGGCCTCCCCGAGGTCGACTCAGCCTAAAATGAGTAGCTGGTGCTGTGCGTAAAACATCACCACTGGGGAGACAAAGGCGGCCGGGCGTGGTCCCGGTCAGCCACCCCCCTCGTGTGCCGCAATGCCGGCCTTCGTAGGTGCGAGTCGCAGGCCCCAACAGTCCGTCAAAGGCGAGTGTGTGTGCGTGCGTATGTGGATACGAGTGTGCGTGCGTGCGTGAGTGTTTTTCTTTTTTTAACGACATTAATAATTGAGGGGTGAATTAAACGAGGCGGTGTTCGAGTCGCAATTGTGATCACGGGGCGAAATCGGGGCTCCAGAGGAGATGAATATTTAATTGCTCGCTCGAAAAACGCCGTGACGTCCCTGATTGGGGGAAGGCCAGAGACGCGCAAAAGACACGAGTTGGATTCCGACCCCCCCCCCGACCCTAACCCCACCCCAGAGGTCGCAAACGGGTTTTGATTCCTTACCCGTACCCGTACCCCGCCGGGTACGGGTACCCGTTCCCTACCCGTACCCTACCCGAAATGAGTGACAAACGGTTACTCACCAGTGACTCACGGCCTACCCGTACCTGTACCCGGCCGCACCAAGGTCGCAAACAGCTACCCGTACCCGGCCGGGTACGGGTAGCCGAGTATCGGGTAGGGTACGGGTATCGGGTACCCGGTTGCGACCTCTGCCCCACCCTCACCCAACCGCAGCCCTACCCGGATCAAGGCGTGGGGGCTTTAGGGGGCTTTAGGGGGCTTTAGTGTCTCCAGTAAGCTGGAGGGCCTCCAGAGAATTAAGTGAAAAGTTTTTCTTGGGTCTTTCGGTAAAGTCACGTAGATAGGTTTTTTGTTTGTTATTTTTGTTATTTTCTTTGAACCTATCTACGGGACTTTACCGAATGGCCCAAGGATATGAATATGCTGCAGTCACGAAAGCATTAAGTCAAGATTTCAGTGAAAAGTGATTTCACGTGTGAATGCCCAATTTTATTTGTTGTTAGCCTTGTAAAAATACATTTTCTTTTTCTTAAACTTTGTTTACCTTTTGAAAATATTACTGGGGGCCTCATAGTATCCTTTAGCCAAAGGGGCCTACACAATCTTAATCTGGCCCTGCCTACCCTAACCCTCTCACAGCGTGGCCCAACCCCAGCCTAAACCCCTACCCAGCCTACCCCTAACCCAGCCTGACCCTATCCCCAGCATACCCAAAAGTTAACCCTCACCCCAGCCTACTCCAAACAGACCCTAACCACAGTCTAACATACTCTTAGGTTTTTTCGGTAGAGTCACGTAGGTAAAAAAATACAATTAAAAGTTAATAAAAGTAATAATGGAAATAAAATAAAATAATAAATCACGACGTTTCGGAGGCAACACAAGTCTCCGTCATCAGATGGGACCGTCACAGATAAAATTTACTTTTAATTTAATCATTGCAGTCACGAAAGCTTCAAATCTAGAACACAGTCTAACAGTCTACCCCTAAACCAACCCTGACCACAGCCTACCCCTAAACTAACCACAGCCCACTCCTATCAAGCTGCAGAGTGGGGGGCTGACTCCTGCATCGTGAGCGACTACACTCGGATGCCAGACGGGGACAAAGTGTCCACATTTACATCCCCCCCCCCCCCCCCCCCACACAGTTTGCTCTCTCTACGCGACGGCGTTTATTTGCGTTGAGCGTTGAGGTTATTTTCACGAAACAATTTTGCGGCTCTGTCGGAGCAGAGCGGTGGAGGTCGGGGCGGGCAAGTTGCTCGGCGGGGTGGTGGGGGGCAGCGAGGAGGTGATGGTTGGTTTGAGCGGCAGAGACTATTTTGGGGGCGGCGATGTGTTTGTGTGCGTGGCGTGTGCGGTGAGTGGTGGTAGAGGTGTCGCGTGGCGAGGGGTGGTGTGGTGTGCCCGTGTAGTGTGGTGAGCGGTGTAGCGTGGTGCACGGTGTGCAGTGTAGTGTGGAGTAGCACGGTGTAGCATGGTGTGCGGTGATGTGTGGTGTAGTGTGGTGTAGCGCAGTGTGCGGTGTAGCGAGGTATAGCGCGGTGTAGTGTGGTGTAGCGCGGTATAGCACGGTGTAGTGTGGTGTAGCGTGGTGTAGCGTGGTGTGCAGTGTAGCATGGAGTAGCGCAGTGTAGCGTGGTGTGCGGTGTGATGTGTGATGTGTAGCACGGTGTAGCGTGGTGTGCGGTGTGATGTGTAGTGCGGTATAGCGCGGTGTAGCGTGGTGTGCGGAGTAGCGCGGTGTAGCGCGGTGTAGCATGGTGTGATGTGTAGCGTGGAGTAGCGCGGTGTAGCGTGGTGTGCGGTGTGATGTGTGATGTGTAGCACGGTGTAGCGTGGTGTGCGGTGTGATGTGTGATGTGTAGCACGGTGTAGCGTGGTGTGCGGTGTGATGTGTGATGTGTAGCACGGTGTAGCGTGGTGTGCGGTGTGATGTGTGATGTGTAGCACGGTGTAGCGTGGTGTGCGGTGTGATGTGTAGCACGGTGTAGCGTGGTGTGCGGTGTGATGTGTGATGTGTAGCACGGTGTAGCGTGGTGTGCGGTGTGATGTGTGATGTGTAGCACGGTGTAGCGTGGTGTGACGTGTGATGTGTAGCACGGTGTAGCGCGATGTGCGGTGTGTTGTGCCGCGTAGCGGCGGGACACCTCGGGCGCGATGTAGTCGGGTGTGCCGCAGAAGGTGCGCGTGGTGGCGCCGTCCCCCATGTTCTCCTTGCACATCCCAAAGTCGGCGATCTTGATGTGCCCCTCGGCATCCAGCATCACGTTATCTAGCTTCAGGTCCCTGGGGGGGGGGGGGCACGGGGGAAAGGGGGGAGCGGCGGGGGGGGGGGGCAGGAGGGTTGACACGGGGGGGGGGTTGGGGTGGGACACGGGGGGGGGCATGGGGGGACACGGGGGGACACAGGGTCATGGAGGGGGACAACGTGGGGGGCACATTGGATGTGAATTTCTGCAGCAATCGAGGAGAACACATCAGCATCCCTGGGAATCTGTGGCTCTCTGTGTGAGTCTGTTGCTCTCCGTGTCAGTCTGTGTCTCTGTGTGAGTCTGTGGCGCTCTGTGTGAGCCTGTGTCTCTCTGTGTGAGTCTGTGGCTCTCTGTGTGAATCTGTCTCTCTGGGTGAGCCTGTGGCGCTCTGTGTGAGCCTGTGGCTCTCTGTGTGAGTCTGTGGCTCTCTGTGTGAGTCTGTGGCTTTCTGTGTAAACCTGTGGCTCTCTGTGTGAGCCTGTGTCTCTCTCTATGTGAGTCTGTTGCTCTCTGTGTCAGTCTGTGGCTCTCTGTGGGAGTCTGTGGGTCTCTGTGAGTATGTGGGTCTCTGTATGAGTCTGTTGCTCTCTGTGTCAGTCTGTGGCTCTCTGTGGGAGTCTGTGGGTCTCTGTGAGTATGTGGGTCTCTGTATGAGTCTGTGGCTCTCTGTGTGAGTCTGTGGCTCTCTGTGTCAGTCTGTGGCTCTCTGTGTGAGTCTGTGGCTCTCTGTGTGAGTCTGGGGCTCTCTGTGTGAGCCTGTGGCTCTCTGTGTGAGTCTGTTGCTCTCCATGTCAATCTGTGGCTCTCTGTGTGAACCTGTGGCTCTCTGTGTGAGTCTGTGGCTCTCTGTGTGAGTCTGTGTCTCTCTCTGTGTGAGTCTGTGTCTCTCCGTGTGAGTCTGTGTCTCTCTGTGTGAGTCTGTGGCTCTCTGTGTGAGTCTGTGTCTCTCTCTGTGTGAGTCTGTGTCTCTCTGGGAGTCTGTGTCTCTCTGTGTGAGTATGTGGCTCTCTGTGTGAATCTGTGGCTCTCTGTGTGAGTCTGTGGCTCTCTGTGTGAGTCTGTGTCTCTCTCTGTGAGTCTCTCTCTCTCTCTCTGTGAGTCTGTGTCTCTCTCTATGTGAGTCTGTGTCTCTCTGTGTCAGTCTGTGTCTCTCTGTGGCTCTCTGTGTGAATCTGTGTCTCTCTGGGTGTACCTGTGGCCCTCTGTGTGAGCCTGTGGCTCTCTGTGTGAGTCTGTGGCTCTCTGTGCGAGTCTGTGGCTCTTTGTGTGAGTCTGTGGCTCTTTGTGTGAGCTTGTGGCTCTCTACGTGAACCTGTGGCTCTTTGTGTGAGTCTGTTGCTCTCCATGTCAGTCTGTGGCTCTCTGTGTGAACCTGTGGCTCTCTGTGTGAGCTTGCGGCTCTCTACGAGTGATTTCCGAGCGCACGCGTTGTTCACACAGCTGATATCCACACGAGAGAGGAGATGATGGTGGTGATGGGGGACGGGGAGGGGGGGTCACAGGGGTAGGCCCAGTGGGGAAACAGTCACGATCCTGAGCAAGGCTGAGATAATTAGTGAGACCGAGATCATTAACGAGGCCATGATAATTAGCGCGGATGAGATCATTAGTGTTGCTGAGAAAATAAGACCCAGGTTAAGATCACTCAAGTAACGAGAGTGGCGGTGATGATTTTAAAAAAATGTATGATGACGATGATGATGACGACGATGAAGACACTGCTAATGATGATGACAACGGTGATGACATCGTGATGCTAAAGCTGCTGCTGCTGATGAGCATCATGATGATGATCCCAATAAATGATGCTTCGTGATGCTGATTGTGATTATGACGACGATTTGCACCTGTAAATGATGCGTTTGCTGTGGAGGTAGAAAAGGCCGATCGCGATCTCTCCTGCATAGAACCTGTCCCACGCAACACGGGGCAAAACGGGGCAACACGAGGCAACATGGAGCAACACGTGGCAACACGTGACATCGTGTATTATCATCACACGGCGCGACAGCGTGCTGTGGCATGGTATAGGCTGACGTGTCATCACGTGGTACAGCGTGGCACGGCGTGACGTGGCATCACGTGGTACAGCGTGGCACGGCGTGACGTGGCATCACGTGGTACAGCGTGGCACGGCGTGACGTGTCATCACGTGGTACAGCGTGGCACGGCGTGACGTGGCATCACGTGGTACAGCGTGGCACGGCGTGACGTGGCATCACGTGGTACAGCGTGGCACGGCGTGACGTGGCATCACGTGGTACAGCGTGGCACGGCGTGACGTGTCATCACGTGGTACAGCGTGGAGCGGCGTGCTGTGCTCACACTGCGTGCGGCTCCTTGAACTTGCTCAGCTGCTGGATCTGGAACATGAGGTCACCCCCCGTGATGTACTCCATCACGAAGTATAGCCGGTCCTGAGCACACGGGGGAGTGGGTGGGTGAGTAAAAGTGAGCGGGCGAGACGGTGAGAGAATGTGCGTGTATTTACTACTATGTCTTTACCAGGTAGGGACCACTGGGCTGTGTAGCTCTTCTTTAGAAGCTACCTGGCCACAAATGATAGCTGAACAAAGTGGTTTATCGTGTGGGCATTGATGGCAGGCAAAAACTCTCAACGCATGTTCATTCTAAATGTGGAGGCGAAAAACTGGAGGACCCGGAGAAAAATCAACGCAACCACAAAGTGAGAGAGGCATGCAAACGCCAACTATACAGCAGGCATCAGGGTCAGGATCAAACCCAAGACCTCCTGTATACTGGGCGAGGTCGTTAAGCTCCTGGTCCACCCTAAATCGCAGATGCAGATAGCTGATGCACACATGTTCAATTAAAACCTCTGCAGTGTATGACTGTGTTCATCCATAACAGACCGTACAACGACACAGCGCCCGATCCACAAACACGAAGGGAGACATCACAGCGATACGCTCCGCTACTCCCCACGCGGTTGTCTGAGCTTGACCAACTTTCGTGTGAAATTGTAGTTGGTGTTCTATATCTAACATCGGCCATACGAAAGAATGAAGAAAAGGTGTCAGTTTTTTTGCCAGATAGAAGGGTAAAAACAAATTATCATATTTTTTACTGGTAAATGAGGTTCCAATGGTGTAAATGCTTACCCCAAGCTCTCATACTATGATGGTGCATTGTCTTTGAGTTGTGCGCCTTTTGGCGTCATCTGGTCCAACCCATGTGAGACTAGGCTCTAAGAAAAGCTGTCTCGGGTGTGGACCAATCAACTTCAATGACAGTGCATACATTATCAGAATTATGTTTTTTGTTTGCATTACGGCTGCGGGTATTGTGGTCTATGCAAACATGACTCCTTGTGAAAAACAGGTGTCAGTTTTGTTGCCAGATAGAAGGGTAAAAAAACAATTATCAGAATGAAGAGAGTTACAATCTCGCCACCGAGTCTTTGCGCGCGCGCGTGTCTGCGCTAGCGAGGCCGGCGTGTTCGTGAGCGGGCGATCGAGCGAATGGGCGGGCGGGCGAGCGAGTGAGGAGCGAGGCCTCTCACCACGGTCTGAAAGCAGGAGTGCAGCTGGGTGAGGAAGGGCGGCTTGTCGGACAGCGCCAGCACGCGCTTCTCCACCAGCGTGCACTCCACATCGTCGTCCTGTATCACGATGTCCTTCTTCAGGATCTTGATGGCGTACAGCTCCTCGGTGCCCTTGCGCTCCGCCAGCATCACCTGGCGACATCGCCATCGCGTCACCGCCATCGTAATCGCCGTCTCGTCTGCCACCGCCGCGTCGCGGCGATCGCCGCAACGTCCGACGCCGCAATCGATCACCGCCATCACCACCGCCTCCGCCTCACGGTGGCAGTGGTAAGGGTTGTGTTGGTGGTGGTGGAGATGGCAAGGTATGGGAGGGGGGGGTACGGTGGTGGTGGTGGAGGGGGCCACGGTGTGGGAGTGGTGGCACGGTGGTGGTGGTGGTGGTGGTGGAGGGGGGCACGATTTGGGAGTGGTGGCACGGTGGTGGTGGTGGTGGAGGGGGCCACGGTGTGGGAGTGGTGGCACGGTGGTGGTGGTGGTGCTGGTGGAGGGGGGCACGGTGTGGGAGTGGTGGCACGGTGGTGGTGCTGGTGGAGGGGGGCACGGTGTGGGAGTGGTGGCACGGTGGTGGTGGTGGTGGTGGAGGGCACTCACGGTGTGGGAGTGGTGGCACGGTGGTGACACGGTGGTGGTGGTGGAGGTGGAGGGGGGCACGCACGGTGTGGGAGGGGGGGGCACCTTGCCGAAACTGCCTTTGCCGAGCACGGTGAGGAAGGTGAAGTCGGGCAGCCGTAGGTTGTGGAGGCCTCCCACGGACGGCGACGGAGATCGATCGGACTCAGGGGTGGCGATGGGGGGGGTGATGACCCCCCCCATGGGGCCCCTGCCACCCAGGTGGGCCCTCTGTGGGGTATCAGGGTCACGGGGTCACAAGGTCACGGGGTCACCATATCACAACATTTTTTTTTGTTTTTCCTCCCCGCAAAATGTTATTCTCAGACGTGGTGTCGGCGGTCAGGTTTGGGATTTGGGTCGGAGAATCCTTTCGGAAATCTCACCGCGCGCAGTGTGCACCTCCCCGTGCTCCCAGGCAACAAAATCGCCGCCCGCGACCGCTTTGCCCGCGTCCGAGCGAAGGGTGCGCGGCGCTGCCGACCGAGCAGCGGCGTTCAGCATCGTCACGACCAATCACAGCTCGCGAACGTTGTCACGCGGCGATGAAAGAGCGCCGATCTGCAGATCGACGCTCAAGAAGTCGAGGAGGCTTGCCTCCTCGACTGCGAGCTACCGGTCTAATGGGTCTCTGTATTCGTCTATGGGTCTCTGTGTCCGTCTATGTGTCTCTGTATAGGTCTATGGGTCTCTGTATGGGTCTATGGGTCTCTGTATGGGTCTATGGGTCTCTGTACGGGTCTATGGGTCTCTGTATGGGTCTATGGGTCTCTGTATGGGTCTATGGGTCTCTGTATGGGTCTATGAGTCTCTATATGGGTCTATGGTTCTCTGTATGGGTCTATGGGTCTCTGTATAGGTCTATGGGTCTCTGTATGGGTCTATGGGTCTCTGTATGGGTCTATGGGTCTCTGTACGGGTCTATGGGTCTCTGTATGGGTCTATGGGTCTCTGTATGGGTCTATGGGTCTCTGTATGGGTCTATGAGTCTCTATATGGGTCTATGGTTCTCTGTATGGGTCTATGGTTCTCTGTATGGGTCTATGAGTCTCTATATGGGTCTATGGATCTCTGTATAGGTCTATGGGTCTCTGTATGGGTCTATGGGTCTCTGTACGGGTCTATGGGTCTCTGTATGGGTCTATGGGTCTCTGTATGGGTCTATGGGTCTCTGTATGGGTCTATGAGTCTCTGTATGGGTCTATGAGTCTCTGTATGGGTCTATGGGTCTCTGTATGGGTCTATGAGTCTCTATATGGGTCTATGGGTCTCTGTATGGGTCTATGGGTCTCTGTACGGGTCTATGGGTCTCTGTATGGGTCTATGGGTCTCTGTATGGGTCTATGGGTCTCTGTATGGGTCTATGGGTCTCTGTATGGGTCTATGAGTCTCTATATGGGTCTATGGTTTTCTGTATGGGTCTATGGGTCTCTGTATGGGTCTATGAGTCTCTATATGGGTCTATGGGTCTCTGTATGGGTCTATGGGTCTCTGTACGGGTCTATGGGTCTCTGTATGGGTCTATGGGTCTCTGTATGGGTCTATGGGTCTCTGTATGGGTCTATGAGTCTCTTATGGGTCTATGGTTCTCTGTATGGGTCTATGGGTCTCTGTGTGGGTCTATGGGTCACCGTATTAGTCTATGGGTTTTCTCTGTGGCTCTATGGCTCTCTGCGTGATTCTGTGGGTCTCTGCGTGATTCTGTGGGTCTCTGCGTATGTCTGCTGGTCTCCGATCTCCACAACCCTGCTCGTTGCATCTTCTCTCCTCTTCACAACATCCTTCTCATCTCCGAATCTCTCCCCCCCCCCACCACCCCTCGTTACAAGGGCCCCCTCTCTCCTCCGTCTCTCCCCGCGGATAAACCACAGCCGCTGTTCCCTGCGTGGTTTACCGCAAGCCGCCCCCCCCCCCCCCCGAGGCTTCCACCCCCCCTCCCCCCCGCACTGCCGTGACCTTTAGTCACCGCGTGACCTTTCGTCACCGCGTGACCTTTACGCGTACGGCACGGCGCTGAACACAAACGCGGAGGGTCAGCGGCTGGGGTTTTTTTGTTTGTTTGTTTGTTTGTCGGGCAACGAAATGTCCTGGGCTCCTCTTTAACCCTCGAGGCGCTCGTCAGCAGCGCCGTGCTCGCGCCCTTAAAAGGGTTTGGGGGGCAAGTGGACACAGGTTCCCCAAGCCCCCCCCCCCC